TCTGGCCTGGACATGTCTGGACACTTTCTCGTTGGGAGGCTGCAAGACATCTCGCACAATTTTGTTCCTTTCTCCAAGGTTTGTAGCCAAGCGTATAGCACAGGTATGGGCAAACTTTGGTCCTCCGGGTGTTTGGGAATTGTGGGAGCTGAAATCCAAAACACCTGGAGAGCCAGAGTTTGTCCATGCCTGGTATAAGGGGTGCTGGTGGAGAACAGCTCATAATATAGCCACAAGCCAGAAACAGCAGGAGTGAAACCCCCAGCAGGTAAAAGGATGGTTGAACTTCCCAAGTGGGGTCAATAATGAGGAGGAAAAATGTTCAAAGTTTCTGGGCGTGCAAAGGTTTGAAGAGCCAAATGGGGATGGGGGAGATACTCAACTATATTCCCTTAAATCAGACTTGCCTGCAAAACATCCATGTTATATTATGTGAAATTAGCAGGTGTAATTATGAGTAGATTGTGTTATAATTGTGGTTGGAAGGCTGTTGGAGTTTCTTTTCCCACCCTTGACAAGCCCCCACCCAAATCCACATTTTAAAGACTGGATTTTGACTTGAGAATTAGTAACACAACTGTCTTCCAATATTTATTATGAAAACCTAGTATCTAGGTTTGTTATTTTTAAAGGCAGTCATGTATAATTTAATTTTAAGAAATAATCTAAGAAGTTGCCAGATTTTAAAAGACACACGAAACTGCATTTCAGCTTAGCTTTTGGTAACTATGAATTTGGGACAAGCAAGATAAGGAGGAAGACAATTGAAGTAATCCTTTTGTCAGGGCACAAAATGTATCTGGCACATTTTGTCATTTAGTTTGCATTCTGTTATCCACCCTCCACAATCCAGCTTTTGTGAGAAGCATTCTGCTCTTTTAATAATACAAGATGTATATATATGTGATGGAGCCCCAGGTGGCACAGCAGGTTACACCACTGAGCTGCTGAACTTGCTGACCAAAAGGTCAGTGGTTTGAATCTGGGGAGCGTGGTAAGCTCCCGCTGTTAGCCCCAGCTTCTGCCAACCTCACAGTTCAAAAACATGCAAATGTGAGTAGACCAATAGGTACCGCTCTGGCGGGAAGATAACTGCGCTCCATGCAGTCATGCCGGCAGCATGACCTTGGAGGTGTCTATGGACAATGCTGGCTCTGGCTTAGAAACGGAGATGGGCAGCACTCCCCAGAGTTGGACATGACTAGACTTAATGTCAGGAGAAATCTTTAGTTTACTTACATGTGTGTGTGCATTGTTGTTGTTGTGCATATTTGGATGTGAATCTTATCAGAGAGAGAACTTTAGTGATGGTGTTTGAGAATTAATTTTTTCATCCACAATTCCTTTTTTGAAACCATTTGAGAATCCTGGGCTAAGAGGGCTAAGATTCCAACTGAGCGAAGAAAAGGATATATGGCCCAAACCCCATGCAAGAACAGATCTACCTAAGTAATCTGTGGCAGCAATTACACAAAATCAATGAAGCAATTGAACACATTCATTAGTGTTCCCATGGCCTCAGCTAGAGACAACCATATGTACAGAACCAAGCTTTCAGCATTCCCACAAGTTTGTATTTGGGTCAGTGAGATGCTTGCACGTTTTGCTTTGCAACAATGAGGGCTCTAAATGGTATTTTAAAAAAACAAACCAAAATTCATACTGAATAGCACATATGAAGCTCATCAGCTTCTGTATTTACCAGTCTGACTCAAACAGCAACTTTGAGCAGATTCTAGTAATTGGAGTGATCAGAGGTACTCTCTGAAATGGCAGGGCCAGGAGAACATAGGTCAGGAATGTACTAGATAGTAGGGGTTTGGGAGAAAAAGTGCTTTCCTACCAGCCAAAGAGGGAATTTCCACCAAACAGATTAGGTTTCATGGGCCAGAACAGAGAGAACAGCAAGGCAATCCCCTAAAGACACATTTGGTTCAAGGTCTACCAGCAATAATATAATGTGGCATTCTAGATGACAGAATCCCATCTTTAGTTGTGCATTCCCATATACAGTACAGCTCCCTGGACTTCACATGGATATGCAAAACTGTGGGTCATAGTCAACCCTACTAAAATGAAAGACTTTTGGTCCAAGAAATACGAGGGTTGAATGAAAAGTAACGCCTCCACCTTCGTAACTCCTCAAGAGATGACAGTACTAGTATGTGGCAGGCACTAGCTTGTTCAGTAGACTCTCCTCTACAGTTCCATTTTGGCAGGAAGCCTTAGCATTGAACTGTTGTGTTGTTAAAGTGTGAAGTATGGAACCCTGCACAGAAGGTCGGTCAATGCGACTTAAGCAATGTGCAGTCATTGAATTCTTGACAGCAGAAGGTGTCACCCCAAAGGACATTCATCAGAGAATGTAAGCTGTTTATGGTGATTGTGTTGATGTGAGTACTGTGCATCGTTGAGCAAGTAAGTTTAAAGATTTTGAGGTGGGAACATCTGACTTGTGTGACAAACAAAGAGTTGGACATCCTGTGACAGCAACCACCGAGTTTCACAAGCAAAAGGTTGACAGATTGATTCAGGACGATCGTTGTCTCACTCAGAGAGAAATTTCAAGCATAATTGGCATTTCACAAGAACGTGTAGGTCACAGTATTGCTTTGCCTAGCATTATTTTTTAACTATAATTACATTTGGCCCAGCCATAGATTTTAAATGTGTGTTGTATTACTGTCATTTTTATTGTTTTACTGTTTATGAGTTTTATTTTAATTGTTTTAATGTTGTTGTTATTGCTTGTATTGATGTATTGTGGGCTCGGCCTCATGTAAGCCGCACCGAGTCCCTTGGGGAGATGGTAGCAGGGTACAAATAAAGATTATTATTATTATTATTATTATTATTATTATTATTATTATTTATTATTATCAAAAGATCTGTGCACAATGGGTTGCAGAAACAGAGTGTCGACTCCTTCCGTGACGGCTTCAGAAAACTTGTTGGCAGAAATGTATCCAATTGTCTGGTGATTATGTGGGAAAGTGAATAGTGGTAGTTAAAGAGCACATTGTAAGGATTACTTCTGCGTTTGATTTATTAAAATATTCCCATCCAAACCAAGTAATGAAATTGGAGGCATTACTTTTCATTCAACCCTCATAACATAGAATCACGCTGGAGGGCCATAAAGTACCTAGAGAGGACATGTTTTGTAGAACATTCCTGGTTCTGTCGATATGGGAGTCAGACTATATGCTTAAGGTAGAACAAATGTGGGAAATAAGGTCTACTAAGTGGGTGTAGAGCTTGAAAAATAACTTGCCATTAACTACTTCATCATCAGTGTCAAACTTCGTTCTACCCCTTGCACTAAGAAATAATTAGATGTTCTCATTCTCATGCAGAGACAGACGAAATTCTCAGTTGTAAGGAACTGACTGGGAAATTAACATAGGAGGATGTTAACTGTGAGAAAAGAATATGTTTATTTTCATTCCCTCCCATCCCCGATTTCCAAATACATATTTTATTATCTCTAATGGTTTATTCTGTCCTTCATATCAGCAACTCAAGCGTTCAAATGGAAAATATTAACAGAAGGGTTTGTGAGATAAGTAAAAAATATCCATGCAAAGTTCTCTGAAGAAAAACAGCCTTCCCACCACCCACCTTGAGAAGATCCTGTAGGAAGCTTCATGGGATGGCTAGATCTTGTGATAATGGTTCCTGTATTCTAATAGCAAACAGGTTTAGGAACTCTTGTTTGTTATTTGGCGTCTCTTTAAAACAGCTGTTGAACAGAACCAAAACATAGTTCCAGCAAAATAATTCTGCCTGAAGAATGCTTTTGAGATGGGGGTTCACAGTGGCCTCAACTACACAGCCAGTGCAAAACGGCACTGAACTATAGACCCATCTGCACTACCATATAAAGCAGGCTAAAACTGTATTATATGGCAGTATAGATGGGGCCAGTGCTCATTAAGTTTTCGTGCTCTTTTGCACTTTTACTGTATGTTTATCTTAAGGTAAAGGTTTTCCCCTGACATTAAGTCCAGTCATGTCCGACTCTGGGGGTTGGTGCTCATCTCCATTTCTAAGCCGAAGAGCCGGCGTTGTCCATAGACACCTCCAAGGTCATGTGGCCAACATGACTGTATGGAGCACCATCATGTTTATCTTACCATGCCCCATCTGTACTCATACAAGGTGATGTGACATAGAAGCTACGCATAGAGAAGGTCCAATTCAGCCCAACTAGTGGTTGAAGTTTGACTGAAGGAATTTTCTGGGAACTTTCACCTAAAACAATAACTTTTCTAAGTTCTGAATTTTCGTCGACAGGCATGGAAGAAATGGTAAAACAAGCAAACCTCAAAAATGAATCCATTATTTATTTAGTGCTAAAACCTTAATAATTTAAAGATTATGCACTGCTGCCTATTATTTTTTTAAAGCACACAAAACGAAGTCTTTCATATTGGTTTTGGATCAAAATTGTAAGCCTGAAGTGTTTAATTAAGGGTGAAATTGTGCAGAAGTGGGGTGGTTTTTTTTAACTTGATTTGTTAAAATAGGCACTGTGGTGTTAACTTTACAATAAATTATCAAATTTATATTGCAGTTAATTATTTTAAATAAATTAGTAATTTATTAAAATACATTTTGCTATTATTAAAATGTATTATTAATTAAATTTCAGTGTATTTTTAAAAAATGGAAGGAAAGATGGGATATTGCTAATATGGTAGTGACTAGTTTACACTTTCATTCTTCAAACAGGAAAATTGTTGTAGCCCTAATTAAAGGTTGACTGGAAACATTAACATGGTTAAAAAATGGTGCCCACACACAAACATTGTACTTAATGTACACTAAGACATGACAAATTCACATAAACAGTAGATTAATGGGTTGTTGTGTGTTTTCCGGGCTGTATGGCCATGTTCCAGGAGCATTCTCTCCTGACATTTTGTCTGCATTTAGGGCAGGTATCCTTAGAAGTTGCGAGGTCTGTTAGAAACTAGGAAAAATGTTTCCAACAGACCTCACAACCTCTGAGGATGCTTGCCCTAGATGCAGGCGAAATGTCAGGAGAGAATGCTTCTGGAATATGGCCATACAGCCTGGAAAATACACAACAACCCAGTAATTCCATCCATGAAAGCCTTCGACAATAAATAGATTAATGTTCACACTGAAACCCAAATTCTTATGAAAAAAGAAAATGATGAATTAGTAGCTTATCCTTCTATGCTTCTGGGGACTAAATGCTCTTCTATCCTTCTGAAAAAAGCCAGTTTGTGATAAGAAAAAAAATTGAAAATACACTGTGAAATCATGGGAGGATCACAAATAAATGCCAATGTCTGCATCTACATATCAGATTGAACCACAGTCTGTATTAACCACAGGCCATTGCTTGGTGAACTGCATAATAAATCCTCAAGCAAACCAAATCTAGCTTTCTGCAATCCTGATGTGTTTTCGTCTCTTTCTCTCCCATTTATTTTGCCATAATATGTAGCCAAGAAAAAAAAAACAGAGAAAAAACAACAGAACTAGTCAGAGTTCGTTAGCCAACCAGAAACCACAGTTTTAAATTGTGTTCTGTACTGGTTAACAAACTTTGGCTTATTATCAGAGGCAGATTCATACATTACAGGAAGCCAGATTCCAACAGGCCATGACCTATTATGATATTCAGATGCAGTCAAAGTCATTCAGACTCTTGAAATAAATGAATAAGGGGCAGCCATTCTGCATGAAATGCCTAGTTGGTAGCAATATACATTTCCTTTTATTTGATTTTGATTTTGTATATCCTAAAAGTATCTTTACAAATTAATATGGAAAACTATTTTGTAAATGTCCTGCAAGGCTTTTTAAAAAGTCGTATCAGAGACATGTTTCTCTATTTCTATAAGGGTTTTGGTTGTTTGTTCTGAGATCAGGAATGGCCAGGTTTTTTGGGGAGATGTTTCGTGCAGTGGCACAACCACAGTTTGGAACTGCTTATCTTTTCACAGGTGATCTAACCAATGCACCTAGGACCGAGCGGTCTGTATAAACCACATTCCAGCTGGTTTCTCAAGAAATAATAAAATCTCTCTGTAGCACATAATATTTCAGATTACAGTGATTCACAGAGGCCACAAACTACCATCTGGAAAATTAAATAAGAATTTTAGAGCTGCTTATGAAACACTACAGTTAAGGATGAAGCCTGGGCTGCCAGATACTTTGAGATTAGAGCATATAGCAGCTCAGGACACAAGCTGCCAATTCTGTCCATCTGACCGATGCAAAGACATCTGACTAGTAAAAGGGAGATATGGTCTACCAAACAGGGGACTAGCCATATTGCTTACTACACTACATACTTGTTGGATAGGGGCCGACCATAGGATGGTTATACCTAAACCCCTAAATTTCTACAAGGTTAAACTAAAGAATTAGGTCCACCTCTAAACTGTTAATACACAGCTGTGATCTCTGGGTATAGCAATCTCAAGGTGGAAACAAGTTAGTTCCACGTTCTTCCATTGGTAACTGCCCATTCAGCCCATCCCGCTTCAGAAACCAACCTTTGAAAGCTCTCCTCCCATACTTCCCAAACAAACACTCAATGTGAAGACCCACCCCAAAACTGCTCAAGGGCAAGGCCCTTTCCCAACATGTCCCAACAATATTGTCCTTTCCTCCAACAGAATAAATAACCTCTCGCTCTGAAGACAGAATAATGTTCTGGCTCAGAGAGTGCAGTAATCCCAGAGCCTTGAACAAAGAAGACAAGTCAGTAGTCCAAGAGGGGCCATTATGAAGAGATAGGGAGGGGACATCCTTGATGAGAAAGAAAGGCTCAGTTGGGTTGGGATGCAGTGCTTGAAGAGCTTCCATCAGGCTCCCGTTTGACCTTGGCAGCAGGTTCTGTCCCAGCTTTTGTTTCTCCCTCTGCTTCCTCCTTGACACCTTCATGTGTCTTCATGTGCTTGCTGAGGTGGTCACTTCTCATGAAGACCCGGCTGCAAACTGGGCAGGTGAATTTCTTGGTTCCTGTGTGGGTTTGAAGGTGCCTCTGCAATTCATCAGAGCGGGTGAAACGCTTCCCACAGAACAGCCAGTTGCAGACGAAGGGGCGATCTCCACTGTGCCATCGCAGGTGGGCCTTCAAGTGGGAGGTCTTGGCATAGGCCTTTCCACAACCAGGGATATGGCAGTTGTGAAGATGCTTCTTCTTTGAGTTGTCAGGGCACTGACCTACTCTTTCAGCCTCCTGGCAGTTGGGGCACCGGCAGGCAGTCTGGCCAGAGCTCCGGGTCACTGAACGCCTTGAGCTTTTTGGCCTACCATTACCTTCTCCAGCCTGCTCCATTGGGTGAGGCTCCTGAGTAGACTCCAGAGACTTAATCACTTCCTGGCCCATGAGATGGGATGCTGAAGGCAACAAGTGATGAGGAGGCCCACAGAGTTGGTGTTCTGCAGAGCCATAGCCACCCAGTGCTGGCTGAAGTCCACTTGTGTGGCCTGCAGGTTGGAGACCACTTTGAAGATCCATCCAGCTGGAACCAGCATGGAGATCCCACCACGGATTAACACTACCATCATCAGTAGCATTGCTGGGATGTGTAGGCCTGAACCAAGGTTCATAGTGGTGAGCCATATCAGGCGCTGCCTGTAGGAGCTTAGAGTAGGATCCTGGAGGCAGCTGGCTTTCGCAGTCCAGGTCTAACCGCGAAGACCCATGCAGCTCGTAACCGGAGTTGGATGAATACTCTGTGTCGGGCCCAGGCAAAGGCAGATGCTGGAGTTCTGTGGGCTGCAGAGGGGATGGGAAATCTCCCCCACTCTCTGGACTGGTGTGGGGCTGGTAGTTCTGCAGAGGTTGCAGTTCCAGGTGGGTTGGAGAGGAGCAGGGTGTTTCTGAGCACTGGTTGCCAAGAGAACCACAGACGGCTGTGAGCATTGCAGAACTCGCGTGGTGGGTGGGTTCTCAGACACACCTGGACAGGAGAAAGGGAGGGAGAGAAAAATGGGTGTGAGAGAGCAGAAAATGAAGAAAATCGTCCTTTAAAGTCATTTGTAAACTAACACTGAGACTTGGGCTTGAAGCCATGTTCCATTTCATTTTGGCATTGGGGAAAAAACAGAATAAAATGCAAACCAATATTTATTGGAAATCCCTGCCACCCCCAGTCTAAAACAAACTTCTCCTCAGCAAGATTTTTTTAAAAGCAACATATGTCTATGTTTCTTGTCCAAAATTATTTCCCCAAGAATAGGTTTTGAATTCAAAATGCATTAAGATTCCATGAAGTTTCCAATAAATGTTGGGTTACCCCATTCTGAGATTGTCCTTGCAGATGGTCTGTTATCCAGAGATAGGTATCCTGCTTGACACATTTGAAGAAGTGAAGAGCCTTGTAAGCACATTATTGTTCAAAAGACACAAAAGCAATGTGAATAACGAATATAGAAAAGTAGGATTAACATTCTCAGAGATGAAACATAAAATCTTGAGTTCCAATCCCATTTTAGCTATCAAATCACTGGTGAGTTTCTTAGACAGACTGTGTTAATATCACAGAATTATTTGTCTCCATCTTGCATAAAATGGCAATATCACTAGTAGAACAGGGACCAGACTTTAATTACAGTGCACAAGAAAACTTCAAGCCTACACACAGTTAAACTGTCTTGGCTGTCACCAAATAATTTTGGGAATGATAATATGGGGAGACTAATGGAAATTGCACCACAGAGAATTTAGAAAATTATTTTCACACGAATAAACATAACGCTATGCTAAAGCCATCCATTGCTGATCAGTGGTAAGATGATGCCTAGGATGCCATAAGATAGAACTGCCATGGCCCTATCCAATGGGATCCTGGGATTGTTCTGCATAAGAATTCTAAATCTTGTGTTTAGGTGCCATGCTATTTTTCTATCAATTGTGGTATTTATGTGTAATATTTAGTTCTCCTTTCTTTAAAAAATCAAGCATTGTGGTGAAGATTTTGTGATGGTTTTGGCTGGGGAAGAGGTTTAAATACAGCTTATTCTCTTTTTCTTCTTCAAAAGCCTTCCTTAGAAGCAGACCCTCTAATCGTCAGCCTCCAAAACGCAGATAACAATAATTATATCATCTAATTTAGCTGTGATGGCACAAGGCTTGCCTCTTCCTTGGTGGAAGAAAAGAAGACTTGCTGAGTTTTCCTCTTATAAGGGAAGAAAATGAAGATCTGAGAGCCGCCAAGCAACATTAAGGGATGTATTATGATTTGAAGAACATCAGAGACCACTATGACACACAAAAATGAAACTGCTACAGATGTGTCAAATGATTAACTGTAAACTTGAGTATAAGCCGAGTTTTTTACTCTGTTATTGTTATTATTTTTATTACATTTATTATTTTACTCTATTTATTATTATTATTAAATTATTTTACTCTATTATTATTTTATAACATTTATTGTTTTAATCTATTATTATTATTATTATTATTATTATTACATTTCCATTATTTTATTCTATTATTATTTTTATTACATTTCTTATTTTAGTCTCATTATTATTGGAAGGATACATATGCACATTTACATTGAAGGAGGTTAGAATAATGGGTTATCAGAGATGGACAGTCTTCTCTTAAATTAGTTTTATGTAAATATTCAAAAACATTTAACCTGGTGATGCTTCAATTAATGTAATTTTATTGGTAGCTATTTTTATTTTGAAATTTACCAGTAGCTGCTGCATTTCCCACCCTTGGCTTATACTCAAGTCAATATGGTTTCCTGTTTTTTGTGTGTGGTAAAATTAGGTGTCTCAGCTTACATTTGGGCCAGCTTATACTTGAGTATATATGGTATTTTACTCATGCTGTGCACCAGCTGTGCCTGTACCTTGAAAAGCCTGATCTGGCAATGGTGGTGCATGCCTTGGTCACATCCATATTACACTACTTTAACATGTTCTTTGTGGGGCTGCCCCAGAAGAGCATTCGGAAACTGCAACTGGATCAAAGATCAGCTGCCAGATTGCTTAGAGGAGCTGGGTACAGGGAGAGAACCACTTCCCTGTTAAAATAACTGTACTGGCTACCGGTTTGTTTCCAGGAGCAATTCAAAGTACTGGCTTTAGCCTACAAAGCCCTAAATGGTTTGGGCCCAGCCTATTTAGTTGACCGCATCTCCTATGAATCCATGCAAGCCCTGGGGTCTTCAGGAGAGGCCCTACTCTTGGTCCCGCGACCATCTCAAGTGCAATTGGTGAGAATGAGAGAGAGGGCCTTTTCAGTGGTTGCCCTGCAGCTTTGGAACTCTCTTCCTAAAGAGGTTAGAATGGCTCCCTCCTTGCTCTCATTCAGGAACCAAGTTAAAACTTTCCTATGGAAACTGGCCTTCCCTGAAGGTAATGCAAATGCCGGATTTATGTGCATAATGTACGAATTATAATAGGTTCCTGGCAATGGACCTGACAACAGCCTAAAGCAGTGGTTTCCAACCTTTTTTTTTTTTTTTTACCAGGGACCACTTGATCGAGGAGCACTTTGATCAGGGACCACTCTCCAACATTAGTACCAAAAGGGTTACAAATCAGTTTTTGGTCAACTTTAGATTCACTTTGGTTATTTGGGGTGCTGATTCAGAAAATTGCATTGGAAAGACCACATCAGCTCTAGTTTCTGATACAAAACATATGCAGTCCAGTAGTTGCCATCTGCTTGCCCACAGAAAACCATATTTAATAAGCCTCAGCATTATAAGAGGGTTTTGCGAGACCAGTCACTCTCGTTGTAATGTGCTTTCGAGGGAGTGGTGTAGTAACGGTGAGGTTGCGGACCATATTTTAGTTCTTGTGGACCACTGGTGGTCCATAGACCACAGGATGAGAACCACTGGCCTAAAGGAATGGACATTAATTCGGGTTTTTAATCTATTGAATATTTAAATTGCATTTTTGCTAGTTTTGTACTATATGTGTCAGGGTTTTATAATTTTTATTAGACATGTTTTGGTCTGATGATTATGTTTATTTTTATGTTATGCAATGTTTTGTTTACATGTTGTTCTCCGCTTTGAGTCTCAATCTGGGAGAAAAGCGGGATAGAAATAAATAAATACATAATATAATATAATAAAAGTAATTAAGAAATTGGCCATTCAAAGTAGCTGCATTAATGTATTGCGTGCTAGTGGGGATTTTAAAGGTGACAACAAGATCTGAAATTGCCGCACAACCAGCCCATCTTGTATTAAAAAAATCCTAACCTTAGACCATGTATCCTTATGTATCAATCCAGGCTGAAGATAAAATCTTAATACACTCGAGGGGGCATCCTGGTTGTACAAAATTGTCTTTGGGGAGGGAGATTGATGGTAAGGGACTTCAAAAGCAGCTCAGTAAGAAGTGACTCTGAATATGCTCCGTATAGCCATGGAAAATTGGGAAGGAGGGAGAGAACAGAATGAGGCATTCTGGAAGAGGGCATGGATAGTTGTGTAGCACCAAAAACAGAACACTGCACAGTGTTCACATTTAGTTGCTGGTCCTGCTTGTTTCACAGATCCCTGTGCATTATCGTTGCCAGGTTTACCCTCAAAATGGATTCTTGGCCAGTTCCAGATCATGGTTGAAAGTAATTCTTTCCCAACATATGTTTAAAGTCTCTTAGGGTGCATCTACAATGTAGAAATAATGCAATTTGACACCACTTGAACTGCCATACCTCAGTACTTTGGTACCGACACCATGTACTTTTATAAGGTCTTTAGCTTACTCCATCAAAGATTGCTGATGCCTCACCAAACTACAAATCTCAGGCTTTCATAGCATTGAGCATTTCAACTGATATCAAACTGCATTAATTCTACAGTGTAGGTACACCTCAATTACAGGTGTAACATTAAAAAATAAAGTGGAGGAACTAAAATAGGGATTAAATATATGCAATCCTTAATTTCTTATTAGTCCTAGTCTTCTTTCACTAATGAATCATAAATCATCCTTTATAACTTAATTGCAATACAAAGGGTTAGTATTTAACATGTATATGAAATGTACAGGGCTACTTCATCCATATTCAAATATTACTTTTTATGATAAAAACCCTCCAATGAGGATTTACATGAAATAATCATTTGCATTTTAACTCAGAAGCAAATTCTGCTTTGTGTAAGAGTTCAATATCTGACAAGCATACATAGGATTGTTGTCTCAAATGCTATGCAGTGAAAGACTATACATGCCTGGTCAAAAGGAAAATATTTGGTGTTCAATGGGACTTATTCCCATATAAGTAAGCATATGTTTGCAGCTGATTATTTTTGCAAGAATCCTTTACATATTGCAAGCAAAATTCCAAATATACCCAATACCCAACCATCTTAATACTTATCATCTTAAGTATTACAGGGACTGCGGATAGCACAGCGAGTTAAACCGCCAGCTGCAGAAGATCTTGCCAACCGGAAGGTTGGCAGCTCAAGTTACCAGTGGGGGTGAGCTCCCACTGTCAGCGCTAGCTTCTGCTTACCTAGCAGTTCCAAAACAGCAATTTGAGTAGATAAATAGATACTGCTTTGGCAGGGAGGTAAAAAGGTGCCCCTGAAGACATACTAGCAATTCGAACAGGAAGGCATCCATTGACATGGAAAAACGGAACAACAGCACCTCTCCATGGCTGAGTTGAGCACAGTCTCCAGGTGCCAGAGATGAAAAAAGAGGGAAGCCTTGCCTTTGTTTATGTACTGTCTGTCTTTGTTGTCAATTGTATAACGGCACTGAATATTTGCCAAATAAGTAATCTGCTCTGAGCCCCCTTGGGAGGTAGAGTGGAATATAAATTATATACACACACACACACACACACACACACAATTATTATTATTATTATTATTATTATTATTATTATTGAAAAACTGCTGTTCAAATCCCAGGCTGCCATGGCAGGGGGATTGGGAAAGCAAAGCGGAAAGTTTCCACTTGCATTTTT